AATCTATTAAAATTGCTTTCTGAATTGTCATTTTTCACATAATTTTTGAAAGTTTTATTGGCCTAAAAAATCCTTCTAAATTGTTATTTTCGACATAAAATAATCTATTAAAATTGCTTTCTGATTTTATAAATATACAAATCGTCCATAAATCGAACAGGTTGATTTAGGTTGATTTTTAGCCATTAATGATTATGTCCGATTGACGGATGATTGATAGATGATTTATCACATGTCCAATTTTTTTGATTTCGACCAGTGATACAAAACTCAAATTTATATATGAAATCCAAATTTATAAAAAAACTTAACCAATTCAATAGTAAATAATTTAAATCAGTATTTATTTAGAAAATTTATAAATAAAACTTATTACATTCTTTAAATTCTTATTATACAAAATCAGGCTTTTCACAAAAAAATATTTATGTATATTTTTATAATACTGTATAAATTCGTAAAACATTGATTATAAAAATATAAAATAAACTAATTTTGCAATAATATTCATTACCAAAAATTATTATTTATTAGCTATATACATTATTTTTTTTTGTTACAATTGCAAATTCATTGGTCTTCTTTAATAGTACTATAATCAGAATTATCCCTCATCATTTCTGCTATTAATTCTTTAATATTATAATTATAATTAGATGAATCATCATCCTTTTCTTCTTGACTCTTATTCAAATCACTATTATTTTCATCACTTTCATTAATTTCTGATAATTCATCTTCATTCACAAATTCATTATCATTTTCAGGGTATAAAGGAACTTGATCCAAGTCAAACAAATCTTCAATCGCAATATAGATATTATTATTAGAAGTATCAATGCTAGTATTTTCAAAATTATCATTATTATCATGTTCATCATCGTCATTATCATCATCAATTAAAAAAGTTGATTCCATTACCATATCACGTAACTCAGCTTCAGTAAATGTTTGACTAGCAAAAGCAAGTTCTTTTTTAATATTAGAAATATTAAATGATCTAATTTTAGCCATTGCCTCAACTTTTGAAAGTGATAATTGTTGAGATGTTTTACCATATAACCAGCCTAAAGTTGAAAAAACTCTTTCACAGCTTGTACTGTGAGGAGTAATAGAAAAAATCTTTAATGCTAAATTTTGTAAATAATCATATTGATCTTCAACTAACAACCACCAACTTTCTGGAATATCATAACTAAGTTCATATTCCTTATTATATGGTTCTCTATATAGTTTATATTTACACATTTGAGCTAATAAAATTTTGCATGAATTCTGATCATTTCCTTCATTTTGCCAAATTTCTGCTGCTTTATTAGCAATTTTGGTGTAATTTTCTTTTTTTAATCCTTGTCCTAAATATATTAAATAAATATTAATTAATTTGTAAAAATAATTATATTTAATTATAATAAAATTAAAAAAATTATCTTTATATGCTGGATGTAAAAAATATGATAATATATATAAATCTGAATCAAATCCTTTCCAACGATTATTAAAACATTCAATAGCATATTGTCAAATGCAACCATATTATCAGAAGGTAATTTTGAAAGTAAACTTGCTAAATTAATCAATTGTATAAAACAATTAGCTAGATTTGTTGAATTGCTTTCCAATAACTTGATTGTTATTTTTATTAATTTCAAAACTTTTGTTAAATTTGAAACATTTGAAAAAAAAATTCCAATTACGTAAAATCCGTTTAACAGATTTATTAGTAATTTCGTCAGAGTTGTTATATATAATCTTTAAAATTAAAAAAAATGTAAAAATTATTATTATAATTTAAAGAAATAAATGCTTTTATAATTTACATACTTGTTCTAATGCTGGTTTTAATTATTTAATTGCTGATGAAGCTTCAAATATTGAAGTCTAACGTGATTCAGTATATGTCTTTAATCCACCTCCTTTAATATTAAGAGACACTATAGCATTTCTTAAAAGATTACTCGCAATATATGATGTTTTAAAAAATCTTGTTACTTTATTACATGCTTTAATAGTACGTTTTTCCAGATTATGAGCTAATGCAAAATAAATATAAATAATAAATTAATAATAATATATATTAATAAAATATAGTTTATTAAAATAAAAATAATATTATATGATTAAAAAAATTCTGTATAATAAAAAACTCTATAAATTATCTATCTTACTTTTTAATAAATTAATAAAACTTACACATAATATCCTTGGTAAGTAAGTTTACAAAATGTGTAATACATCGTATGTTTAAAATCTTTGGATATTTAGTAGAAATAATTTTATGAGCATTTGCACAGTTTGATGCATTATCTGTTACTATAGCTGCTATTTTATTCTTTTCAACTCGTTCAACAACTTCACTAATTTATAAAGCTAAATATTCACTGGTATGGTGTTCTCCGCTACAATCTTGTAAACGGTAAAGAAATTGTTAATTTTCAGGAGTAAGCAATACAAAATTATAAATGGAAACACCATTTGGATTCGTCCATCCATCCAAAGCTAAAGAATAAAAATAAAAATATAAATTTAGTAATGATTATAATAAATATAAATCAAATTTATAAAAAAGATATTTTAATACCTAAGGTTAAATTTTCAGAATTAGACAAAGTTTCATCAACTTTCTTATTTACACGAGCAACTTCTTGTTCTAAAAGACTTCTACTAAGCATCTCTCGAGAAGGAGGCTTATACCCAGGTTTCATTTCATGTAAAAAATCAAGAAAGAAAGGATTTTCAATAATGGAAAAAGAAATACCACAACAAATAAAAACACATACAAGTGCACGTGTAATATAAACAGATTTATAATCAGGTAGGGTAGTTGGTTCAAACTATTCATAAATTTCTCTTTGATTATTCTTTTTGTTAATATTAACATCAAATTTTCTTTTTTTTGAATTGTTGGATGATTCTTCGCCAAAACCACGAGATGCAACAATATTCACATAATATGATTGAATTATATCTAGTGCCTTGGGACATTCGTTAGCTAAATGCTCTTCTAATTTTCCAGGTTTTCCACATGGCCAATATCTTTTACAATATTTACACTCAGCAGAAAAGTGACCAGCTAATTTAAGTCTTTTTCAGTTAAAATGTTCCCAAATATCACTTCGTGTTCTACCATTATTATTTTGAATTGAGTTGAGTTTTTTTGGTTGTTTTGAAGTTGTTGGAGATAGAGAAGTTTGTGAAAGTTCCTCCTCAGAAGATATTTGCTCATTTGTTTGAACATGTGGTAACGATTTTTTTTTACCTTTGTTTCTTTTTTTACTAACACCTTTTGTTTTTCTCGTCATTTTTTAGAAAAAAAGAATTAAAAAAAAATGCGCGCAATTTAAAAAATAATGTTTTTCACGTTGTAAAACTTGTTGTGAAAAAGGATTTATTACATTTTGTTAAATTTATTGAAATTTAAAATGACTGCCCAGTCTTTACTGCTTAAAAAAAAGATTTTATGGTGTTGATCGTTGATTAAATTAGCAGTATTGTTTGACAAAGCATATGATTAGCTTGATTATCATAATTATTAACTAAATTTGATTTCGCATTATTTTCACATTTACGTCACGAATTTTAGTTTCGTAATACTATTCGGAAATTAAAAAAAAACGAAACGTTTCAGCATTCAGAAATAGGTTTCGGCTGGCATCATTAGTCTCTGACATTCAGAACGTTCAATTAATTGCATTTTTTCAATAATTGACATCTTTAACATTCAGAACGCTCAATCAATTGCAAAAAATGCAATAATTAATGCTTCTGCCATTCAGAACGGTCAATTATTGATAATTTTGCAATAATTGATGCCTCTGATGTTTGAAACATTCAATTAATTGCAAAATTTCAATAATTGAACATTCTGAATGACAACAACGTTAATTATTGCATTTTTTTGCAATTGACTGAGCGTTCTGAATGTCAGAAGTGTCAATTATTACATTTTTGCAATTAATTGAATGTTTTGAATGTTGAAGGCGTCAATTATTGCATTTTTTGTAATTGACTGAGCATTTCAAATATCAGAGACATCAATTATTACAAAAATGCAATTAATTGACATTCTGAACGTTAAAGGCGTCAATTATTGCATTTTTACAATTAATTAAACATTCTGAACGTTGAAAGTATCAATTATTGCAAAATTTCAATAATTGAATGTTCTGAACGTCAGAGATAAGGTTGCTGGACGAAATCAAGAGTTTAGACAGACGTCTAAATAGTAAAAGTAAAACTTAGTTAAATTATATTAAAACCTTATTAAAAAATTTGTGAAATTTGGAAAAAGGTAAAACTATATCAAAGCTTATAAAAATGGCGAAACTATATCAAACACTTAGTAAAAATTTAGCGAAACTAAAGGTTTTACCGTTTTGCCAAATCCAAAATGAGTTTAGACAAGCAACTTTAGTCAGAGGCGTCAATTATTGCAAAAAATGCAATTAATTGACTGTTCCAAACATCGGAAGCGTCAATTATTGAATAAATGCAATATATTGAATATTCAAGCCAAAAAATTGGCAGAGTCATATGACCTTTAACATTTGGCTATTGGTCGCAGCCAAATACTAATTGGATTTTAACCGCAAATCTTAGTCAATTATTTTGGTTAATTAGCTAAATTAGCCAATAACCAAAAAATTAGCCTTAGCTATGGCTAAATGCCATCACTAGATTATATATCCTGATAAATCTTATGAGTCATTCTAATTGGTCTAGATATTACTATTGCCTATAGTGATGCTGTTGCTGTTTTTAGCCTATTAGGAAGAATTTAGTCTCTTCCTACTAGTTATTAGCTATCTAAAACTACATATCACTATAGGATTAAAGGATCCATTACACTATATACCTTGCTAGGGTATACTTTTATCCTAACTAATATCACAGAGTTCATAGGATTATTATCACAAGATTTGCCTAGATAATAAACTAGCGGAAATGATCTCTGTTTTTTGACTAATTCTTGATAAGATAGTCTATCAGACAATTGGCATCTCTTATACTCAGAATAACTTATATAATTATAAAGTTGATCTTGTGAAATATAATAAGGTTTATATTCTCTATCAATAGAATACTATATATTCATGTTCATAGTATAAAGACATTCTCTATTAGACATTTTAAGAAACTTCTTCTCTTTAGGAGTGTTATCATTTCTAACTGCTTTCTAAACTTGTTTGCTAATGAAATCTAAGTAGCCTCTTCCTGTAATTTCAATAAGCTTTTTGAATAAGCTGAGCACTCATACCTTGGGTTTTATCTTTAGAGCATTCATTATTCCAATGATATTTTATCAAGTCTTCAAATTTAATTTCATATCCATATCTGCGCCATTCATCGAAATATTTCTTTTTTGGTTTTATATTGGTAATCTTTACCAATTTCCAGCAATTGAAACAAATAGCATATAAGTAGTGATATTTAGTGGAAGATTAGAAGCATATTGGACTTCTAATCTTCTAATTCCAATATTACTTCTAGGTTCCAATAAAAATTTATTAGAAAATTAAAAGCACTTTTATTAAATTTTATTCATTTGATATTATAATTAAGTAATCAGACGCATTAAAAGAAATACTAAATAAATTTCTAAGTTTTCATTTTGCTTTTATATCTATTGCTGAATGTGTATACTCATTTAAAAAATCACCTTTTATTTTACTATTTGAATTATTTCTTAATACTTCTGTCTCTTCTATTTGTACTAATTCTTCTTCTAATAACATTTCTTTCTAATTTTCAATTCTTGTTCCCAATTTTCAGAAGTAATAATACTATCTTTATTATTCTCTTCACTATCTTTGTCATTTTCAAAATTTGAAATTTCCGAATCTTCTAAACCCATTTCATCAATTGGAGTAATATTTGAATTTAAAAATTGTAATTGATGTTGTCATAAATCTTTTTCTCTTATTGAGAAGTTAATAGATACACGAAGTTGACATATTTATCATTCTATTAAAATTAATAATAAAAAATAAATCCATTAGTAATAAATAAAAATCAATTAAAAAAATAAAATAATGTTAATTAATTAAATAAAAATCCATTGATTAATAATAAAAGAATCCATTAATTAATTAAATAAAAATCCAGTAATTAATAAATAAAACACCTTATTAATTAAATTAATTAAAAATATCCATTAATAAAATAAATAAAAATTAAAGCATTTATAAATTAAATAAATTTAAATCCGTTAATTAATATATAAAGAAATTACATTAATTAAATAAATTAAAATTAATTAAAAAAGTCTATTGATTAATTATATAAAAATTCATTAATAAACAATTAATTAAATAAATTAAAAAATTCATTAATAAAATAATTAAAACCCAAAGCATTAATTAATAAAATAAATTAAACAATCTGTTAATAAATAAATAAAATCCCAAAGCATTAATTTAATAATTAAATTAATCAATAAATAAATTAAATAAATTAAACAAATAACCTATTAATACATAAATTAAAAACCCCAATAATTAATTAAATTAAACAACCCGTTAATAAATAAATTCCAAAGCATTCATTAATTAATCAAAATAAATACCCGTTAACCAATAAATAAAAAATCCATTAATTAAATAAATTAATAACCCGTTAATAAATAAATAAAAATTCCATTAATTAAATAAATTAAATAAGTTTATTAATAAAATAAATAAACCCAATGTATTCATTAATTAATTAAATTAAACGCTTATTAATAAATAAATAAATTAAAAAACCCATTAATAAAATAAATTAAAATCCCAAAGTGTTTATTAATTAATTAAATTAAAAACCCGTTAATAAATAAATAAGAATATTCATTAATCAATTAATAAATAAATAAATCAATTAATAAAAAGAATTATTATTAAATAATATAATTAAATTAAATAAAAAATTTTGAACTTACCGTTAATCTGTTATGACAAACTGTATGTAAAAAACCTATAGATAATCACATTTGTTCAACTGAAGCTGCATTTATACATATTCCAAAAATTCTTAATGCAACTGCAGCTAATTTTTTGTAATTACCTTCTACATAAAACCAAAATTTAAAGACATTATTTTCAAATTGATTAAAAGTTTCATTATTAAATGGTTCGATTTTTTAACGAAAATCTTCAAATTCTAATAATAATTGTAGGGGTCTTTTTTTAAACCATGCTTTATAATAATATGTCAAATACCATCCCAAATAAATATATGACAAATTATTATATTCAGAATTAAAATAATTAAGCTAATATTTTGGATGAAGGATAAAAGAAAGTAATAACAATTGTTGTTCCCATTGATTTTATTTTTTTTCTAATCGATCAATCATATGATTACCTAAATCTGAATCTGGAAAATTTTTCCAAAAATGAATAAAATAACCAAAAGCATAAAGTACTTTAAAAAGACATGTCTTATTGCATTGAAGTTTGTTTAAAATATTACAATAAGGTAATAAAATATCTTGTAAAAGTTCAATTGCTTTCTACCAATTATTATCAAGAAGTATTTGACAAAGTTCTGAATTCAAATAAAGTTCACTAGTATTTGCTGAATTAGTTGGTAAACATTCATGACAAATTGCTAAATTCTATAAAATAAAATAATTAATTATTATATTAAAATTAAATAATAATTTTAATTTAAAAAATTTATACTAACTTGTAAAGCTTGTTTAGATCAAATCAAATAAGGCTTTTAAAACAAAAATAGTGACTATTCTACCTTGTTTCTCCAGGAACTATAATTGAATAATATTTATCATAAAGTTTCCTTTGAATATCTCGCAGCTTACCAATAAAATAACTGTTATTTGTACTCTTAAATTAGGTAGCAACTTTAATTGTTTTACTGGATGCCGTTTTTAAAATTAATGATTCTTTAAAAATATCACCAATTGCTAACTGATATTGATGAGTAAAACATGAAAGAAAGATAATTTCTGAATAATCAATTCATAAATGTTGTCTATTATTAAAATATAAATTAAAATATTAAATTTTTAAGATTAAATAAAATTATTAATTTTATTATTACTTACTGTGTTTTAACATAAGCTGGTGCACTATCCGATACTATTGCATTAAGTTTAATACCTAATTTATAAATTTTTTGAATCAAATCTTCTATCTTTGATATTACTTCAATTAGACATTCACATTCATTACTAATATCTGAAACTTTTCATATTAAAATTTCACCCAATGATATTATAAATAGTGATCCAAAAATATGTTGATTTAAAATGTTTTTCCAGTGATCAAATGCTAATACAACTCAAATTTATCATTTGTTAATT